ATTCCCCCCCCCCCCCCCGCCCCCTCACCACCCCCATGAAACGATTTTCCAAATATATAAGTCTTTTAAAATTGATATCTTGCTTATGCCACTCCTGCATGCAATCAGCCATATTTTTGAGATCAGTGAGGATGACCACCCACCCAAGATCGTTTGTCACGCCCGCGATCATTGATGAACTTTAGACTTCGCTAATGCTTTCGTTTCTCCGGGTGTATAAATAGCCAGGGAGAACGGCTCGAGGACAAGTTTGACTGACGAGTATATCCGACGAACAGTCCGAAAGTGCAATCGAGTTAATGAGGCGGATATGTGTAAAATTATTGATCAGTAGTTCCCGTTGAGGTTAAAAGCATCAAACTTTTACAATTGATGTAGTTTTATTTGCTTAATAAATATTTGAAGTGGGGCCATCGCTAGTTTGCTGCTAACTCCTGAAAACGGGTGATTACACTGTAAATTTCAAAGAGTTGAATCAAGTCCAGAAGAGTAATTCTGTCACTGTTTTTGGTGACAGAATAACACTTTTGGAGTTTATCCAACTTTTTAAAATTTACAGTGTAGTGATTTTCTTCTATTGAATTCTATTATAGCCAAAAAATGTGAAATTTTGTATTCAATTACAAAAAATATGACTTGCATCATCAGAAAGCTTATAAAAAACTGCATATAAGACGTTTAGACAGTTTTTTTATTTCTGAAATAGTTTTCGAATTATAAACTGTTAAAAACGCATTTTCAAACATCGAACAATTAATTAGGGACTTTTAGCGAGATAATGTGCCTAATTTACAGCAATAACCATTGGAAGGATAAAAAAACTGTTTAATTAAAAGTCTTTTATGTAGTTTTTTACAAGCTTTCTGATGATGCAAGTTATATTTGTCGCGATTGAATTCAAAATTTCACATTTTTTGTTGTAGTAAAATTTAATAGTAGCAAATAATGCTAACAGCATCGTAGCTCTCTAAAAAAACCCAGTTTCACGATGGCCCCACTTTTACATGTTGTTCTACTCATAAAAAGATGCTACTGTGGACAATTTGGTGCTTTTAACCCTCTTCGGAACCATCCATGCACATATCCGCCACACTAAGTGAGATCATATAAATTGATTATCGCGTATCATGTCTATTATGGCTGTTCTAAAATAGATCGAAATAAGCAAAGCAAAATCACAGTTCACGAAAAAAACATCCTTAATTCTCATTTCACGGAGCATTTATATCGACAATCACGCCTCACGGCTGTAGAACAAATCATATTTCACGACACTAGAATCAAGCATTTCACATTTCACGCGAACATATATTTAATTACCGTTCAGGGCCCACGAAAATACCCTTTCCCACCCTCAATAAAATAATATTATTCGCGGTGATTATCCTTCGTTTTCAACATGGGACGAGTTTTTGCTGATTATTCTTCGCTTTCAAATTAAACATGGGGATAAGTTTTTGCCGAGCTGGTATTTTTGGCAACTTTCAAGATTATTTTTATCTCATGTAACTTTTCGTTCGTGCTTCCCAAAAGTCCCCGCGACCAGCCCCCGCAACTTGTCGCTTCGTGTGACCGAATCTTAAGAGCATACATTTTCCAAAGTGGAATTTTGAAAAATATTTTAGTAATAATGCACTCCCTCCCTTCATCCCAGCTGGCAGAGATTTCCGATGCATTTCATCCTGAAGTTTGGAGAATATTAATAACATGGTCATGGACTATACAAGTTCCCAATTATTTTCTCAATGATTATCTTTTATTAGCTCATAAATTATTATATATTATTTTATACTTTGATCAAAATGGCCCCTATATTATCATAATTCAAACTACCCAAAACACAACTACCATGAAAAAAGGATACTAAATATATATCGTTCACGGCAAATATCTGCATGGTCATCATATCTTAGCAACCAAATTAGCATATATCATTCTATTTGGCAATGACTCTATAAACAAATGTTATGCATGGCATTTCAAAGATGATTTGAATATGAAAGTACACAGCGTGTCACCAACCCACTCCTTATAACAGAACACGATCACAGGGAATTTAACATCAAGCAAAATCAAAGGATTACCAAGGTAAGATTAGAAAATATGAATTCGTATGTCAGTAATCAAGTTCAAATGGTCTTCCTGAATGGTATAATTGATTGTATCCGACAAACGATCAAGCCATAATTCAAAACGATATCACTCAGCGTAAACAACCAATATAATTAAATGTTATGGCCATTCTCCATATAGAATCAGGTAATGTGCTATTGATAGATGCCATGATTCATGAACTTTTTAAGTTAACTAAAACTCATGTGCCTATACTAAATAATATTTGTAATTTAACTTAAAACTCTGGAACGAAACAACATTAAATGTAATGTAGGCTAAGAGTGAGCATTCATGACAGCCGGCATTCGTGACAATCGTGACATGACAATTCAAAATGAAGTTGAAGTAAATTGTCCATTTCGATAATACATCATTCAGCATTACGGCTCTATACTCTATAGTTCGAAACATTAAAATGTAATACTTAATGCAATATCGCGAGAAATGTCTGAAAAACAGGGAGACTATTGCCTATTGGCTATTGGTAGTATCGATATTATCTTTTAACTGCCCATAAGCCAAAACCGTATAGTTTCAATTCAAGAATACGTCCTACGGTCATGCATACTATATATATATATATATATATATATATATATATATATATATATATATATATATATATATATATATATATATATATATATATATATTCATAACGGACTCATCATTTGGTTCCAATAGTAAAGCTATATTAATTTATGTGAAAAAGCCAGAAAATTTGCGACATATATCATCTCGACTGTACTGTATATTATTGCTTAAAATGTTTAATGCATCAGTTTGCAACTGACAAAGAACATGCAGAGTCGAGATTGCAAGTCACCTTGAATATTGACATAATTTTTTCGAATTTGTACTTTGAGTCAAAGAGTGCTACTTTATTTGCTTGGTGGAAACGGTTTTCATTTCAATCATGCCTATAAATAATATGACCGCCTTGCTGCATGGCATTGGTTTCTACTGTGCTGTACCAATGGACAGAGTCGTGAACTGAAATTAAAGACTATGTAAATATAATATGATACTCGACTTTATGTTGACATTCAAAGGCTTCAAAGTTTGTTCAGTGTTGAAATGGATGTGTCGAAATGTGGATTCTATATTAGCAAGAGCACCAAGTCTATATATAATATTCATCATTGCACGTCGACCTCAAAGACAAGCAGTATATTTCGTTTAAGAGATGCTAAAATATTTAGTACCTTATTTGTGTTCATCTGCAGGTGGTATAGTGTCCAGCTGTTAACAAAACTCCTGAGTCACATAAATGTACTTCATAATGATTAATATTTTACCAGTCTGGATAGAAAAGTTCAAGGTTCTCAAACTATTAATACCGAACATGACTTTTTAAAATAGGATTAGTCATTTATATATAGTGTATACTGATTTCACATTGTAGTTTTCACTCATTAATCTTTAGAGGTAATTCCTTTCTTATGCCACATATAACATGCATTTATACATGTATGGCATACATGAGTGCTTATTACGTCGCCTCATTCGACGTACATATTTCACGTAAAAAGCGAGATTAATTGAAAACCCATGCTGCATCATCTCAGTCTTGCTATGGGCCGATAGATTTGCCGTCTCGTGAGTCTACTATATGGGGACCATCCGCGTGATCTCCCACATCTCGCAGTACGTGGCCCCTTGGAGAGACCTCAATGTTGACGTTCACGACACTAATTCGTTTTACCAACTTATGTTTTCTTTTGCGTGCCTAATTGTAATCATTATGTGATTTTTTATATTGTTGACTTATAAATATTATATCTTACATATTCTACTAGTTGATAGCTAGACGTGTTTCCATGAGCACAACAATGTTTGCTGGACGATGATAAACTTTTGAACAACATTTTAGTAGTAATTATCACCGTACTGTTTTCATGTTATTATCACAAGAAATCAACACCATCTCATTGACTCATGCTAGGTAACTTTCATAAGGTGGACTTGAATAACTTAGATTATTTTTCACCCTACTCGGTTTCCTTTGTTCTTGTCGGGGAATATGTTCAATATTCCCCTCTAATCAATTTCCGTTTAATAATCCCCTCTAATATTCACCTGCAATTAATAATCCCCTCTACTATTCACCTGCAATGTCTTTGCAGCACAAAAAATGAGAAAAAACAACATCGCGAAGGCGATATGGCATTGAGAATTATTTCTTTTCTGACTCATTAACGCGACCTCGCAGTGTGAAAAATAAGTACGTTATTTTGAGGCACCTCGGGGATATGTGTTTATTCACCTCGGCGCTGCGCGCCTCGGTGAATAAATCACATATCCCCTCGTTGCCTCAAAATAACCTATTCTTCTTGCACTTCACTTGGTGGAATTAATATTAGGATATTTGGGTTTGTAATCCAAGTGAGAATATATACATTTTAAGACCTAGCCAGGAACGACTGCGAAAAATGCAGCACAACGTCCTCTGGTAGGAATTGAACGCACGGCCCTGCGATTAAGGTGCAGCGCTCTAACCAACTGAGCTACAGAGGCCAGCTGTTGAGCTGTAACCGTAAGTTCATGTATATGGTTAGGTCTTAAAATGTATATATTCTCACTTGGATTACAAACCCAAACATCCTAATATTAATTCCACCAAGTGAAGTGCAAGAATCTAAGTTATTCAAGTCCACCTTATCACAACCCGCACACCCGATTACCTATATATACATGAACTTGCGGTTACAGCTCAACAGCTGGCTTCTGTAGCTCAGTTTGTTAGAGCGCTCCACCGTAATCGCAGGGCCGTGGGTTCAATTCCTACCAGAGGACCTTGAGCAGCATTTTTCGCAGTCGTTCCTGGTTAGGTCTTAAAATGTATATATTCTAACTTGGATTACAAACCCAAACATCCTAATAGGTAACTTTCATCTCCGTGTATAGTTTTAATTTCTGGCCTCATTATTAATCTGTATTTTCTCATAGAATCGTGTCACGAAGTGACAAAGATTATCATGGTTTATATGCCACCCTGCTTATTTTGCATAACACACATGCATGTATATGGGAAAGTGCATGCAATTTGCATGTACACTTTGTCTTTCACGGGAGCTTGATATTCACTGTATAGTTTCGGATACACGAGCAATATTTTTGCTGCGATGGTTACGCAATGGGTGATAACAGCATTGCGTTGTCGTCGCACAAGGTGGCTATACTTGCAATATTTCGCCTGCAATATACGTCTTCATAACGCTTTTCATTGGCTGGTCAAGAACAGTGTCATTCATCAACCTTGACCTTCCTTGACCACACCTCCCAATTTTCGGCAATCTTTGCCGAAAATCAAATGATTCGAAATTTCGGCAACGATTGCGCGCAGCTTTGCATTGCCGTCGCAGAGCATGATACACAAGCAATTTCTTTCTCGCCACGGCAATGCAACGATTTTACCATCATTGCATTGCCATCGCCAGAAAAGTATTGCCCGTGTATCCGTAGCTTTTAAAAACAAATTGGTTAAAATAGCCAATTTGAATAGACCATATGCATAATGACGTCACAAGGCTTGATGCCCGCGAGGAATGCTGGTCTTAGTAGTCATCGCCCGGGAAAATTAAACAATTCAAAATGGCCACTATCGAAATTTTCCCGGGCGATGACTGCCAAGACCAGCATTCCTTGTGGGCATCAAGTCTTGTGACGTCATTATGCATAAGGTCTATTGGTTGTCTCAGATGTATTTTATTTTGACGAATATTATTTGATCAAACCAACAAAAAAATTGTATGAAATAACCAAATTTGTGGTCGTTTTGAACCAATAAATTGATCTCACAATTGCACTTCACTCCAAAGAATTACAAATATTCTTGATCCAATGTGAACAGGAGCATAATAAAAGTGTTTGTGCATGGTAAGATTTGAGGCGCTATAACCCATGCACGCACTTATGTCATTATGGTACTTGCATTGCACCCACAAGTTCACAACAGCTACCACTTCTTACACCACTGTACAACAAGAAGTATATGCTTCTTCTTTGAAAAGCCAAGAGATTTTCGAAATTTTTAAAAATCTCGTACATATGTTTGGGATACGTCGGGGCGTCACGCTGATCAAGGTTAAACAGCATAACGTACGGCTGAACCATGTCATGCGAATAGACTTTGTTGAGTGTTCAAGGCTAGGTGCGTTTGAAATGCGACTAACAAGCGTTTCCGGGCAAGCTTGAACGTGATTGTAAAGGCATAAGTTCCCACAGTGGCTTGTCAGATTTTGAATTTAATTTTTACGCCATTTTTACGACCAGGAAAGACATAATAGAGAGGAAAGTATATAAGCATTACAACTTGATAATTTCAGGACTAATTATGTGCATTTTATCCCTGTGGATACACTCCAAATGATCTACAATGCCCTGATTAAGATTTAGCCTTATTCTGATTACTGCTCTCCACATTGGGGCAATTGAGGCAAACAACCATTTGATAAACTCCAAAAATAAATAATCTTAGAAACAGTAATACTGATATAGATCTTCCAAAACCGAGAAGCGAGCATACCTAATTTTTATGTGCAGTGATAACCAATTTGTGCAGCGATAAAAGTAAATTAAAATGTGCAGTAATAAAATGTAAAATGTGCAGTGATAAAATTTGCTGAGATAAGTTGTTAATTAATAGGAAAATGAGACAATGAGCAGAAAAACTGAACTAAAAGTTCGTTTTGCCACTTGACCGTATTAATCAAAACATTGAACAAGGTCTCCCACCAAAGATTTCTTTAATTACGAGCTTCGAAAATGAAGTGAATGATACTTAACATTTTGTAATAAGTGTATAATCTTCGAAATTCTAGAGAATGTCCCCGCACATTACAGTGCCCTTTTAGAGAGCCTAGCTAGATTACAACATTTTCTGTGGGTGCATGCCCCTGAAACTTTTCTAGAGGTTTGTCACGCCTAAGCCGCCTTTCATTTGCCAAGAAAAGAAAATTCTTTCCTGCAAACACGTGATTATATATTATGAAACTATACTGTCGTAGATAGTCGTAACTGCAGGTGCTGTCAATACCTCCCAGAGGGTTGGAGGGGGAAATGCTGGGGTCCCGGTAAAGAGGGCTCCAAATAAAGAATCACAGTAAAATATAAATGATATATAATTGTCAACAGGCTTCCAGAATGCAGGATTTGGCCATTTCTGGGAACTCAAATTTTGAAATTTTTCCGGGAACAATACAGCTCCCCCCCCAATCATAGTGTTAGAAGATAAAATCACGAGGGACCGTAAAATGAATTTTGCCCTAGGCACTAAAATTTCCCTGCACGATCCTGTGTGCTGTGCAGTGATGGTTGGTTTTGTTACTTTGGAATATCAATTGTAGCCTGTTTTCTGGTTATACATTATTGCAGGGGTGTGTTCAGACATTTTCAGGGCGTGCTTCTGCTCGAAAATGTGCAGTGATAAAAAATTCGTGTGGAAGGACGTTCTAAAAAAAATCTTTAAATGCAGTGGGGCAAAACATTGGAACAGCCTCTCCCGGGAGGCGAAAAAGGCACAATCTATATTCCTTCAAAATGAATATCTAAATTAGTAATTACTATTAATACTCATGTATTGGACACCCCTAATTTAAGTATATTTGTATATTTGCAAATATTTTAATATAGTTTGTGAAAATCAACACCTGTTGATGAGGCTAGCGTCTTTAAATAAATTTTACATAGCATGTACACGGAAATATATACGATGATCAACAGTTTCATATCGCCAGCTAGACGGCCAGACTAGTAGTAACTTAAAAGGGCGTGCACATGAAAGAACCTTCTAGTGTAGTTTGATGTAGTGAACACTCTTCTGAATGCGTCAAAGTAATTTACCCAATATGAATGTATGTCACGAACGCAATCCAACCCATCCAATTTGAGCGAATTGGAATACTGACCTGGAAGATAGTTGGGCGTGGGGTCGTGTCCCTCTTGTGGCACCTCCACGGCATGGCTTTACTCAGTCAGTGCAAATTTTGAATGACTTGCATTATTCAAACCTTAAGAAATTTATTGTGTTTAACCCTTTAGATGCTGGTTTATTAGTATAGCATGACCAGTTGCCATGGATAGCTCCGCCACTTGCTACACTTTCATTCATTCAATTGACTTTCAATATATGGCCATATTTTAATTCACTTTTAATTCTGATTTATTTTCTCTTTTACCTCATTAAATACACTTTTAATTCTTCGCGTTTTTGGCTTACCGAATTTGTGAACACTTTGTACATTTGAGTCATGAATTACTGTTCTTACTTAAAATGTTTCTTATCTCTACTACAATCTTTTAATATACCTTTTAAAATTTGTGTTTTCATAGAATGGGTAGTGGTAACTGCATACGATTGTCGCTTATTGGTGTGAATATATTCTTTCTGGTAAATTTTTCCTTTTTACAATAATTTACATAACTAGTCACCTCACTGAGATTTTAATTGTTATTTTATCCAGAAGCCACTGTATAAGTGGAGTAGAGTAGAGTATAGACTCAACTCGACTCTTCCGCGTTGGTAAAAATTTCCAGTCAACCGAATGTCTGTCGGACAAATGAATATCCGCCGTTCAGATTTGACCTCGACTACCTCTATCATTACCTCTCACTGGCTTAGTTACGCATCGGGTCATGGTTAATCGGATATATCAAACACACTTGATTAGTTGGTGGTTAATATAATAGCTGTAGCGGTAGTGGAAGTCAAATCTGAACCTCACTATCATCAGTCATAAATTCATGAATATATTTTAATGTATTTACATTTTCAGCTTGGTGGGTTAGCCCTGCTTGGTCTGGGGATCTGGGTCCAAGTAGAAAAGGGAGATTATGTCGCCATTGCTGATTCAGACACGGGGCTTTCTGGAGCTATATTGCTCATTGTTGTTGGTGCTGTGACTGCAGTCATCGCGATTGTTGGCGTCGTCGGAGCGTTTAAACGAAATTCAGTTTTGTTGTGGATAGTAAGTTCGGTTCATCTTGCACTTTTTTTAGTACAATGGTCGGCTATGAAAGAAGGCTTAATCAACCAGAAACAGGGGCGTAGGAAGCAGTGGGGCCAGGGGGCCTCGCTCCCCACCCAATAGTTTATGTCGACGGGATAGCTTGATTTCTCGAAACTGGAAGTATTTGAAACCATATGTATCATATTAATAATGTACCTGCAATTGTTTATTGCCATTTTTAATAACAACATTTTTTACGAGTATATAAGTATGACATATAAGTGCGAGTTCCATTACATTGATTATCAGCAAGTTACTGTAATATTAGTCATCCATCCTAATTCACGGACAGCTTACAAATCATAACGACAGAATTTGAAAGGGCTTAACGAAAGTGGCAGAGAAGACCCTGAAAATACCATTTCCGACGATATGGAGACTCCAAGTTTTCAACAATCGCCCCCCCCCCCCTAACTTTTACACGCTTTCTACGCCCCTGACACGAAAAGATAGAGGGAGTAATGTAGCTAATTTCACCAGCAGCGTATCCAGCCCGACGATTTAGTCCCGCTATGCAAATATTTTCGTGTCAGTCATTGACTGTGAAAACAATCAATTTCTAAAGAAATGAATAATAATAAAATTTTGAATTTGCATAGCATGACTAAATTGTTGGGCTGGCTACGCCACTGAATTTCACCATGCATTTTGTCCAAAACTATGCACAGAAGCATCTTCTCTATAAATGCACATGTCTGCTAAAATGTTAACCTATAATTTACAAGTTCTCGCAAATTAATCAAATGTAGCCATCCATATAATATCGATTTCACGAGGTTAGAATGCAAGTAGTCGCATTTCTGAATGTTTTGACACCAAAACATGGTATCTTATAAATTGGGCATTTGGATGCACCCGCTGTTTTTGTAATAACTTTTCTGACCGGCATAAATTAAGCGCTTACCAATTTGTTAGTGCATGCGCATGTCAGATGGTGAGAAGAGTCAAAATGCATGCTTCTGAGCAAGCTAATTACACGTATGACCATATCTACATGCATGCAAAGTCCAAAAAAAACTTATATTCATAGAATTGTTGTATTCAATGATTATATGACTACATTATTGTATTTCTAATCGCCGCGAAACTATGATGTTTTTTATACCTTAAGAAAACTACAATATATTATTATTATGCAACTAACTATTTTGTAGTTCTTTTCTGTCTTGGTGATCATTGTTATCGTGCAAATTGTGGCTGTCATCTTGGGAATGTTATATAGACAAAAGGTAGTACTGCTTACTAAAATTTCAATAGGTACACTAGATAATGCTTCAAGGCATTTTTTAACTAATAATATACATGATAAAATTTTTCATTTTTGATTGGGTGGGACCAGTGCAATTTTTTCGAAATACAGTGCAAAAAGTGAAATACCGTGCAAAAAAAAAGAAATACAGTGCAAAAAGTAAAAATAATAAAAAGCCCAAACATTCCGAGTGACAAAGCTATTATTAATCAGTAATAGTACGGTTTCTCGTGGAATTTGGAAAAACATACACTCGTGAGTTTTTATAGACTTCGAATTACACTCGTTCTTCGGACTCATACAATTTTGATCGTCTTTTGAAAAACTCACTGGTGCATGTTTTTCCCAAATTGCACTCGAAACCATACTAATACCTATATGGATCACATCTGCAGGGACAGATTAAAGTATATTAATGAGGGCGTCTCTTCTCCCATGCAATTATGTGTACATTTATTACGGTCATCGTGTGCTGACCTTTACTGATAAGATGGAATATCCAGAAAGTTAGAGAATATCAGAAACAGGCAATTTTCTAACGCAACGAGGTTGCGCCTTTTTAGTAATAATAAAAATGGCCCAGTGCATCTGAAAATCAATCTAAAGCTAGCCAACGTCATAGACTCTGAATAAATTATATAAAAACTACCCCCACTCTGCTCTTTATGTTTGAAAAAGAAAAAAGATAACAAACAATCACTCACTGACACGTGTGTGTTGACCATGGAAATTTGATAACGTACAGTATACACATACACATGCGCAGAAATCCTGCTTGATACATGGCTGCCATCGTATCTTCAACGCTTGTCTTATCTAGCTACTATTACTAAATCTTCAGAAATTTGAATCTTCCAAACAGCGGGCGGCCAGTCCGTCTCGGGACATATGAATCACTGGATTATGAATGATTATAACGTCTTCACTACTAATAAGCAGAAACTCGACGTTTCGAGCAAAGGCCCTTCGTTAAGAGTTAGTAGCCAAGAGTTTGGCTACAAACTCTTGACGAAGGGCCTTCGCTCGAAACGTCGAGTTTACGTCGAGTTTCTGCTTATTTTTAAGGTATTAATAACCACTCAGCACAGCATTTTCACATTGGTACTACCCAAGTAGTATAGGGAAGAGGGGTTCTGGGACGGGTGGAGCGGATGGAGCACTAGAGCTCCACCCATTACGTTATCAGGATATCATTTCATATCGATTACCCCATAGATATAGGAGATCTAGATTGCTAACGCATACCTAGCGCAGGTGGGGCCTACATGATAAATCCAAGATGGCGGTACAACAGGGCAAAAAGACTATAGATTCTATTACGAAAATCAGGATTTTTGCATTTTTTTCCGTCGCATTGTTTTGAAACTTATTCAGTCAAATTTTATGGTAAAGAGAAACTTACCGCGAAGATTTTGAGCATATATGATTGAATTGGATGAAAACTCGCAAAATTATCCATCGATAAAAGTTCGTGTATAGTACTGATATAGTACTATATATGTAACTTGTACAGTTTTGCTTTAATTTTTGCTCACTATTTGCATAAAAAGCAAATTATAACAGACCATAGATGATAGACCCTCATCCAGTGCTCTCATCAGTTTACTTCTCTAACAAGCAAGGGGGGGGGGGTACATAACAGTTCATTTTTCACAATTATGAGGACAGAGCAGATGATGATGAGAGATGCAAGTATAAAACACCATTCGCAAGGCTAGATGTTAACATAGCACAGTATTTCTGGCAATAAAACGCTCCAACTGACCAACTGACCATTTCACACGAACTTTTATCGCTGGATAATTTTGCAAGTTTTCATCCAATTCAATCATATATATGCTCAAAATCTTCGCGGTAAGTTTCTCTTTACCATAAAATTTGACCGAATAAGTTTCGAAACAATGCCACGGCAAAAAATGCAAAAATCCTGATTTTCGTAATAGAATCTATAGTCTTTTTGCCCTGTTGTACCGCCATCTTGGATTTATCATGTAGGCCCCACCTGCGCTAGGTATGCGTTAGCAATCTAGATCTCCTATATCTATGGATTACCCCACGTTTATATAGTGTTTTTAAAAAGTGTGGACCAACGATTGCCAGCATTTTAAATTAAGAAAATTTTTAAAGTTTAATACTCTGCTAATATTTATCCCCATTTATATTCCTTCTAACAAACTGAGTAAATTTTAGCACGTTCCCGATATATATTCTATCAAAGTTGTTGTAATGCTTGTGGGACGTAGATATTGTACGCATGTGCAGTGAGAATTGTGTATTACGAAAACTCCTGACTTATAGGAGTTTACAAGGATTCCGGTAGGGGAATTCTGCAGAGAATATCCCAATTTATTCAAAATTCCCCCAAATCATAAATGACAATATAAATAAATTATAAAAAGTGTGTTTGAATTTATCGTATTACAAGGTTTTATTAGATTATCTTAGAGTGTCCACTACTTTAACACCATCCATGGTTTTCCCTGGGGATGTATTCATCATGTTTAGGACTATTAAACAATAAAAATCCAAACATACGTATGACCATTTTTAAACAGAACTAAGGCAGCCTTTACACTGTACCGTTTTCGTAGCGTTCTCGTATTGTTCTTAATCCTCAAGGGAACGCAAGACAATAGTCTAGTTCTCTCGAACAATAAGAGAACACTACGAAAACGGTACAGTGTAAACGCTGCCTAAGAGTTACTAAGCCCAAGTTAAAATCGTTGTCAACGTCGTTGTTAAGGTCAATATTTTCATGTTGTTCAGCATTATTTAGCAAACATTCTACATACATATATACTGTTAAGATGACCGAGTCAGATCATAAGAAAGCTTATGAAGAATATAAGTTAGGTTATAAGTTAAAACGGTACAGTGTAAACGCTGCCTAAGAGTTACTAAGCCCAAGTTAAAATCGTTGTCAACGTCGTTGTTAAGGTCAATATTTTCATGTTGTTCAGCATTATTTAGCAAACATTCTACATACATATATACTGTTAAGATGACCGAGTCAGATCATAAGAAAGCTTATGAAGAATATAAGTTAGGTTATAAGTTAAAACGGTACAGTGTAAACGCTGCCTAAGAGTTACTAAGCCCAAGTTAAAATCGTTGTCAACGTCGTTGTTAAGGTCAATATTTTCATGTTGTTCAGCATTATTTAGCAAACATTCTACATACATATATACTGTTAAGATGACCGAGTCAGATCATAAGAAAGCTTATGAAGAATATAAGTTAGGTTATAAGTTAAAACGGTACAGTGTAAACGCTGCCTAAGAGTTACTAAGCCCAAGTTAAAATCGTTGTCAACGTCGTTGTTAAGGTCAATATTTTCATGTTGTTCAGCATTATTTAGCAAACATTCTACATACATATATACTGTTAAGATGACCGAGTCAGATCATAAGAAAGCTTATGAAGAATATAAGTTAGAATTGGAACAGTTGTAATATATTTTGCGATAAAAATATGCGGTCGTTATATACGTTGTTATGTGTTGCTAAGTCATTAGCAACGCTTGGGTGCATGCATATATTAACGTACAAAATATTTGTAGACTAATGAGGCGGGCGGGTCGCGAGGGCGGAAAGAGCAGGCCTTGCAGGCAAAAGTTTGCACAAGATTTTAGTTTTAAAATATTGTCAAGCGATTTCTATATTTTAGTGCTAGGTGTTTAAAGTTCTAAAACTCGGATAAGGTTAATAACTTTAAGCTATATTAAAGCACACCGGTTGCTATGTGTTGTTAGAGTGAAACTAATTAAAGGATTAACTTTTATCAGAGATTTGCATTTTCTAGGATATTCATTGCGCGGGCGTAGCGGGTTATCCGTGCGGGTTGGAAATACAACAATAAGGAGGCTTAAATTGGAAGAGAGAAAGCAATTTAGACAAGGCAGGAGTGTTTTGCAGCCAAAAGTTTACACAAGAATTCAATCGTAAGATATATTTATTTCTTCGAAACGTTTACAAAGTTAATGTGGTCTACTTCTTAGAGCATAATGTGTTTGATTTTATTTAAATTACGCACAACCATTTAAACTTTTCGTAATATAAGAGTCGTTTGGTTTAATTGTTCATTCTCCATGGTTTGTATACTCCTAGTACTATCGACTGTACATCGACCCCACATCGACCCCACATTGACCCTACATCGACCCTACATCGACCCTACATCGACTCTTATCTTCAACTTCTTATCTTCCTTATCTTTATCTTCCTTATCCTTATCTTCCTTCATCTTCCTTATCCTTATCTTTATCTATTTATCTTCCTTATCCTTATCTTTATCTTCCTTATCTTTATCTTTCTTATCTTTATCTTTTTACCTTTGCTTATCATTATCTTTATCTTCATATCTTCCTTATCCTTAATAATCCTCCCGCTATATTGACATGTTCAAAACAACTTAGGCTCAAAATCGAGCTCGAATGGCTCGGAACCGAGCTCGAAAGGCTTTAGGATTCATTGATTCACTCTTATGATTCAATGATTTAATCTTATGATTCAATGATTCACTCTATGATTCAATGATTCAATCTTATGATTCAATGATTCACTCTATGATTCAATGATTCAATCTTATGATTCAATGATTCACTCTATGATTCATGAATCATAGAGTGAATCATTGAATCATAAGATTGAATCATTGAATCATAGAGTGAATCATTGAATCATAAGATTGAATCATTGAATCATAGAGTGAATCATTGAATCATAAGATTGAATCATTGAATATAAGATTGAATCATTGAATCATAAGATTGAATCATTGAATCATAGAGTGAATCATTGAATCATAAGATTGAATCATTGAATCATAAGAGTGAATCATTGAATCCTAAAGCCTTTCGATCTCGGTTCCGAGCCATTCGAGCTCGATTGTGAGCCTAAGTTGTGTTGAACATATCAATATAGCGGGAGGATTATTAAGGATAAGGAAGATATGAAGATAAAGATAATGATAAGGAAGGTAAAAAGATAAAGATAAGAAAGATAATGATAAGGAAGATAAAGATAAGGATAAGGAAGATAAATAGATAAAGATAAGGATAAGGAAGATGAAGAATGGAAGATAAAGATAAGAAGATAAGGATAAGGAAGATAAGGATAAGGAAGATAAAGATAAGGAAGATAAGAAGTTGAAGATAAGAGTCGATGTGGGGTCGATGTGGGGTCGATGTACGGTCGATAGTACTAGGAGTATAGAAACCATGGCGAATGAACAATTAAACCAAACGACTCTTATTACGAAAAGTTTAAATTGTTGTGCGTAATTTAAATAAAATCAAACACATTATGCTCTAAGAAGTAGACCACATTAACTTTGTAAACGTTTCGAAGAAATAAATATATCTTACGATTGAATTCTTGTGTAAACTTTTGGCTGCAAAACACTCCTGCCTTGTCTAAATTGCTTTCTCTCTTCCAATTTAAGCCTCCTTATTGTTGTATTTCCAACCCGCACGGATAACCCGCTACGCCCGCGCAATGAATATCCTAGAAAATGCAAATCTCTGATAAAAGTTAATCCTTTAATTAGTTTCACTCTAACAACACATAGCAACCGGTGTGCTTTAATATAGCTTAAAGTTATTAACCTTATCCGAGTTTTAGAACTTTAAACACCTAGCACTAAAATATAGAAATCGCTTGACAATATTTTAAAACTAAAATCTTGTGCAAACTTTTGCCTGCAAGGCCTGCTCTTTCCGCCCTCGCGACCCGCCCGCCTCATTAGTCTACAAATATTTTGTACGTTAATATATGCATGCACCCAAGCGTTGCTAATGACTTAGCAACACATAACAACGTATATAACGACCGCATATTTTTATCGCAAAATATATTACAACTGTTCCAATTCTAACTTATATTCTTCATAAGCTTTCTTATGATCTGACTCGGTCATCTTAACAGTATATATGTATGTAGAATGTTTGCTAAATAATGCTGAACAACATGAAAATATTGACCTTAACAACGACGTTGACAGCGATTTTAACTTGGGCTTAGCAACTCTTAGTTCTGTTTAAAAATGGTCCTAAACATGGTGAATACATCCCCAGGGAAAACCATGGATGGTGTTAAAGTAGTGGACACTCTAAGAACATCTAATAAAACCTTGTAATACGATAAATTCAAACACACTTTTTATAATTTATTTATATTGTCATTTATGATTTGGGGGAATTTTGAATAAACTGGGATATTCTCTGCAGAATTCCCCTACCGGAATCTTTGTAAACTCCTATAAGTCAGGAGTTTTCGTAATACACAATTCTCACTGCACATGCGTACAATATCTGCGTCCCGCAAGCATTACAACAACTTTGGTAGAATATATATCGGGAACGTGCTAAAATTTACTCAGTTTGTTAGATGGAATACATGTGGGGATTAATATTAGCAAAGTATTAAACTGTAAAAATTCACTTAAAATGCTAGTAATCATTGGTCCGCACTTTTTAAATACATTACAGGCGCGTGTAATTGATATGAAATTATACTGTGATGACATCATGGGTGGATCCACCCGATCCACCCATTACGTCATCAGGATATCATTTCACACCAATTACACGCGCTTATAATGTATTCAGATGAGTGTTATTATTATTATTATTATTATAAAGCTTTATTTGCATGACCTAATTACAGGTATTGCTAAGCGTAGATTATATATATATATATATATATATATATATATAAAATGTCAGTAATGTCTAAGCTATAACTATAAAAATATATTGGAAGAAGCTATTTACAAATAGAAAAGCAGCTAGTATATAATTTAAAGATATAATGTTGGGGTTTTTTTTGTTTATTTTGTTTTATTATTTATCTAAGCAATTTTTAGTCTAATTGTTGTCCCTAATCTTCCATGGATTTGAGGCTTTTATCTCTCTCCGAAAAACAGTGAAAGATATACTTAGAGAGCAGGTTGACAAGAACTGGATCGTCTGAAGACATCGCATGCTCAAACAGTTTTTGTTTTCCTTCCATTGTGTTATTAAGATAAAATAGATTTTTGAGAATGTTGTTAGAATTATTTCTTAATTCTTCGTATTTCGGGCAAGATAAGGCTAAGTGATATTCGTTTTCCACTTCACCGTTGTTGCAAAGTTTGCAGAAACGTTGTTCGCGAGAAACGTTTTCGTATCTTCCTCGCTCAATTTGCAATTTATGATTACTTACTCTATATTGAGAAAATGTTCTTCTTATCGTTGGGTTATCAATAAGGGATAAATATTCTTCCATTTTGTACTGGTTTTTAAATGTACAAAAGAAAGATAGTTTGGAGGAGTTAATCATTTTATGTTGCCAAAATTCAAAATATTTATCTTTCATCTTATTTACAATATTTTTTGTATCGTAGTTGATTATATCACTTTCCAAGTTTGTTGTATTATCATAGAGTGATTTAAGCATGTTTATTGCGTTGGTGTAGAAAGATTCTTTGCCTTTTTCAAATAGTTGTTTAGACATTAGGAAGGATTGTTTAACTATTGAGTTGTCGTCTAGTTTAAAAATATGTTTAAAATAGTTTAGTATATTCTTTTTTATTGTAATCAGCAGTGGGTATTTCCCAAGTTCACTTCTGCAAGCCACGTTACTGGCTCTTCTGTTAACACCTAGGTATAGCTTGCAGAATCTTAAATGAATTTTTTCAGTTTCTGAATTATCCCATTTATTCAGATCATTTTTTTCGTATGCTCCCCAGACTTCTGAGTTATATAGTAGAATTGGGGAAATTATTGAGTCGAAAATTTTTGTTGCTGTTTTTGGTGAAAGTTTATGAAAATCTAGATTTTTACGGATTTTATAAAGAGCATGCAAGGCTTTTTCGCTTAGTTGTTGTTGTGCGAGTTTAAATTTCCCATTTGGTACTAGTTTGAGACCAAGATAGGTATACTCTTTGACTATATCTATCTTTTTATCTCCAATGTGGAAATGAAGGTTTGGTAATTTCGAGTTGTGTTTTTGAAAAATCATAATTTTTGTTTTCTTGATATTGACTTCCATTAGCCATTTACTACACCATTCATTTATTTGGTTTAGACAGTTTTGTAAACCTGATTTTGACCGTGAAAGTATAATGAGATCATCCGCATAGAGTAGGCTGTTGATAGTAGTTCCATTTGGTAATAGAAATGGATCTGATTGTGTTTGTTGAAACATTTTTGGAAGATCGTTTATGTAAATATTAAATAATAAAGGGCTTAGAATGCATCCTTGACGGACTCCCTTTTTGTAAGGAAAAAACGGTGTTCTGTTTTCAGATAGTTTTATTGCACATTTCGTGTTTGAGTAGAGGTCTTGAATTAAATCGTAGAAGTGTCCCCCTATGTTGTTTTTGATAAGTTGGTAAAATAAGCCTTGTTGCCAAACAGAATCAAAAGCTTTTCTAAAGTCAACAAAACATGCATAGATTTTTTCTTTTTCACTCTGTTTGACATATTTATCATGCAGAGTTTTCAGCGTAAGAATATGGTCAGCCGTTCTATTTCCAGGCATGAATCCAATTTGAGTTGGGTGAATTAATTGCTTTTCGTTTGCGAAATTCATCAATCTATTATTCAAAATTGAGCAAAATAATTTGCCCATGCAGCTTGACACACAAATACCTCGCTAGTTGTTTGGATCGAGGGAGTTTTCTGATTTATGGATCGGGGTTATTAAGCCTTCGGTCCATGATTCAGGAAACTTCTCCGATGTTAAGATGTTGTTAAAAATTTTTAGAAAAGCTTTAGAGAGAATTCCAATGCTAGATTTAGTTCATCTTCTGTGATGATGTAATCAAGTTCGGTTAAGTTGTCTTTGATTTTTTCATAGTTTTTCAGGCATTCAACGATTTCGTTTTGTTCCTTGTTTAATTGATGTTCTGAATGAAGTGTTTCAAAATGATTCAGCCATTCACTTGGTTGTGGGCTTTTCTTAGTTTCATTAAAATCAAGATCGTCACTGATATTTTTTAATGTTTTCCAAAATAGCAGTGGATCGTTGCTAGCATTTTCAATTTCTTGGATTTTATCGAAATGGAAATTTTTCTTTTTTATTTCTAAAGTGCTTTTATAGTCTTTCAAAGCAGTATGGTATGCACTTCTAATTTCAGTGTTGTTTGGATCTCTATGTTTCTGATTTGCAAGTTTTCTAAGCTGGTGTCTTTTAAATCTACAATCTTTATCAAACCATTTTTTGTTTGCAACATTATTAATTTTTCGTCTATATTTCTTCTTTTTGATTTTAAGAGATTTTTTGGATGCAAGGTTAATAATGTTTTCAAATTCATTGACACATTTGTTTATGCCCTCTCTGTCAGAAGAGAAATCATTTTCAAGGAATGTGCTTAGTTTCTCTTGTAGTTCATCTGATTTTAACGCTTTTTTAAAATTCTCATTTGATTCATTGTTCCAAATATATTGTAGTGGTAATTTTGATATTGGGGGTTGTAAGGGAGTATTATTAATAGTGTTAGTGGTTTGGTGTAAGTTAATCCAGGTTATAACTTGACTATGGTCAGATAGATAGTTAGGGGATTTAACAACTAGATGTTTAACTTTCGGCATTAAGTTTTGGTTACAAATGATATAATCAACTGAGCTGGTTCCATTTTTACTATGAAAACTTGGTCTTCCCAAGGAGTCACCATTGGTCCGGCCATTAAGAATTCTCATGTCAGTACTTTTGCAAATTTCAATAATTTTTTACCATGATTATTGGTTGTTGAATCAAGGTTTTGTCTTTGTGGTGGTTGAAAGGAGTTACCACTAGTGTCTTGAATGTGATTACTTCCATCACTTGAAATATAATCTTCGAGTTTGCTTGTTCTAGCATTTAGATCACCAAGAAGAAGTATATTTGCTTTGGATGAGAAAAGGACTAGATCATTTTCAAGTTCTTCAAAAATTTCGTTTTCAAAGTACTTTGATTTTTCAGGTGGGATGTATGTACCACACATGTATAGATCCCGATCAGAGTTTAAGATTTCTTTGGAGATTTTGCTCCACAAAAAAATTTTTTGTATTCTTAATAATGCTTACATATTTCTTAAATTTGCTTTTGAATAACAGGCTAATGCCGCCTGATTTTCGGCATGCCCGGTTAGTAACTGGTTTGGCTGTTTCAGAAATAATAGCCTCAAATCCTGGAATGTTTAAACATGTGTTTGTCCATGTTTCAGTTATAAATATGAAATCGATCTTAGAAATAGAATCAATAAAGTCCTTGTTTTTGGTTTTATCTCCAAGGACGCTATTGAATATACCATTAATATTCCAAGTGCTAAATGAAATTCCTGTGCTCATTTTAGATATATCTAATAATTTGATAGAGAATGCTGGAAGTAATTCTTTTGGGGGGAAAAAAACCCAATCTTTTGTTTAATAACAAAATTATGCATGATAGAATTTGAAAGGAGAATGGTTCTAGTATTATATTAATTAAATAAAATAGTGATAGCATGGGTTAAAGACTTACAGTTTATTATATGCTAAGGCATCCATAGAGTTGTCTTATCAGGCCAACCAG